GCACACGTTAGTTCACATTTTCCCTTCGTCATTCTGTCCCTGGCGAACACAGCAGCTGCTGCACGCAGTGAACTAGAGCAGTCTTCAGGAGAGCTGAGCCTCCAGAGACCTAGGTGGGGGGGCGGTTTTGTTTCTTCAGCCTGACCAAACTGACAGGGCTTCATTAGCTCACATGCGAAACAATAATGCCAACCCTTTCTGAGCATGTTCACTGGACATATCACAGACGTTACGCAGTGGGTTTGCCCCATTTAGCCTCTTGCATTTCCACGCCAAGAACCACATCCAGAAATTAACGGGCCATCTAAAAGCTAAATGACTGTGGCACAAATGCTACAAAGTGCCAGAGGGCTTCGTCAGGAAAGGCCTCGCCGGTGCAATAACACATCTGTTTCACGAGGAAATGTTCACTCTCCGGCCTGTCTCGTTCACTGCCACCACTACTGAGCAGAGCAGGTGCCAAGACACCAACGCCGTAAAAGCCTTGGCCGCGGCGCGTGCTTGGAAAAGACGCTTGTGTAAAATAAATAAATAAATCAATAAATGAACACACAAGTCTGGAATTCTCATGTTTGTGAATTCAGCGGAAAGTGTGACTTGCGCTGAGGGAAACGGCGCTGAGGAGAATCACAGAAGTTGTCAATTAAGGAAAAGAAAAACTAATTAAGCTGCGATGGTGTAATCTTGTCTCAATTACCCCAAAGTGTTGCTCTATATTACTGTCAGCCACCAGTCTACATCACGGGTATTCAACAGGGGGTCCTCGGCCCTAATTGGGTCCGCAGGGATGGTACAGAGGGGTCATAAAGTTTTTGTTTGGACAATTTTAGATTTCATATTCAATATAAAAACACCTAAATAGAGCACAGTAAGCGTTTGTTTATAATATATAAATAAGAAAAGAGTATAAAAATATTTGTGGTTACACCAATAACATCAGGGATCAGTGAGTGGTGGAGCTTTACTGCATTAGTACAGCTAACAGATGGTACAGAGTGGTACCGACTGAGTATTACATTTACATGTTTACAGTGCAGATCAGCAGGTTTAATGCAGCTCTGGTAGTAGCAGTACTGCAGGATTAAGTGTTCTCTGTAATACTTTAATTATACAACTCATCTTCTCCATTAAACTGAGTGGATTAAAATGGAAATAACTGCTGCCGGATTTAAAGTCGATGCCACGACGACTAAGACCCAACGATTGGATTTTCCTTTTTCCATGATAAATGCTGCATCAGAGCGTCGACTGCACACAGCAGCCGTTAGTAATTATGGTCGGCCCTAATTCAGAGAAATCATTGGATGATGTTTAGCAAAAGTTTTAATATTTTAAAAGCCTGCAAATGGTGTTCGGCATCTCGTGGAAAAATTGTGTAATAATTAAATAGGTCTGCAGACTTTTAGCCTTTCATAACAAAAAATATACAAAAATATATGGAATTATGAAGTACATTTGTAAGTTAATGATCTAATATAATGGAATATATAATTCTAATGGAATAAGGCACGCATATGGACATCAGTGTACCACTGCTGTTATGCTTGAACGATAACAAGCCTCCAGTCACTAGGTGGCAGCAACTCATACAGTGGTTTGTACAGATAAAAATATACAAATATGTTATCAGGTTATCAATAGTATTTTAATCTGCGGGGATGTGGGTCGGGGGGCGTGAAAACATTTCTGTCCTCAAGTGCATGACAGAAAATCATCAAGAACTACAGCATTACACCATAGTGAATTTCTGCTGCCATTCCTTCTTCAAACTCAGCTCAGTGAACAAATGAGAAATAGGTCTGGGCAAATAAATCACCTCTGGAAAGGTTCAACAACATCTCCATCCAACCCAGGCTGATGTTTCCATCACAGCTAATCACAGTGCGTGCTAATAAATACATGTTAATGTATTCAGACATTTGATTCATGTCTGAATATGTTTTTTTTGCGGCTAAAGACAAAAGCCAGATGTGAGTGTCACTCATCACCTGTTGCTGCGGCTCAGATCACAGAGCTTCTGAATCACGTCTCTCCCTGGTAACGGCGCTCGTGTTTTTCGACGCACTTTCATCTATGGCCTGAAATCCTGCTTTTTTCGAGTGTTTCCGCTGTTTTTGCATCAACGTTGGAATGAAAAGCTGCGGTTTGTTTAAAGAAGTGTCAGAATATTTGTTGTCAGTTGTGCTTTTGGAAGTTGTTTCCCAGCAGTTGAGTCAGGTAACTACGACTTTAGGAAAAGTCATCACGCCATAATACGTTTTATTTATTTCAGAGTCATATTTTAAACCTCATGGACTTGTTGAAATATGTTCGCACCTATTTGGACCATTTTTAACTGGTGATTAATAAAATGAAATTGCTTTTTTATTGGCTATTGACTGACCAAAGACATTTATTTTTACTTTGGAATTTCAGGTAGAAATCGCCAAATATTGTTAAACAGACCTCACAGTTTTTAAACATAGGTCATGGAGAGTACACGTGGTCAATAAAAGACCAAATTCTGTCAATTTTATTGGCAATTTTGAATATTTTCTATTCTTTTTTCTGCCTCAGTTCCTCGCTGTTTCTTTCTGACCCAGGTCTGCACCTATTAAATGTTGGTTCTAGGCCAAACAACACATTATAGAGCCCACAGTGTTTCTGTCTTTGAATGTATAATGTATCGTGAAACAAAGTGGAATTTGGATCATGACAAATTAGGGGGTTTTGGAAGAAAAACTTGACACCTTTGCCAAAATTGACATTTAAAATATCTTCTTAATTAACTCTGCTATTGTAACAATACTCTAGTGTGTGTGTATGTGTGTGTGTGTGTGTGTGTGTGTGTTTTCTAGTGTGATCTCACTCTAGGTAAACATCCGACCTGGCGTTGAGGCCTCAGCAGCTGCAACAGGAATGCAGTGACTTTTCAACAGAAATACATCGAGGATAGTTTTTAAGGACAAACATTTTCCAAAAAAATAAAAATGTCTGAAATTTTTTTCTTACCACAGCAGTGTTGTCCACCTGTGTGGTCGCGATATACAAAACCCAAACATCCACTCCTTATATTTACATATTATTCATTCTATTATGTCTATTTCTGTGTCTGCTTCAAACCTGTTTCCAGCGACTCCATGTTTTTCAGCTTTGTCTGTGTTATTTCTTTGGCTCATTAGTGAATAACAGCAAGTCTCAGTGCGCTGCACAAACAAACAGCCAGAAACAGACAGAGGTCAATGGACTCATGTGTTCCAGCCTTAGTTGTTTTCCAAAACTGACTGCAGGTACTTCATTATGTGTGAATGCCCATATATACTGCATATATTTCCATTATTTATATTTATCCTTTGAAGCAAATAAACAACAAACTGTTTTTTAGTTGTGTTTTTTCATTAGTGTGTACAGCCAGTTGACTCAATAACCGCATGCTGCCCAGGCATCACTACCTATGAATAAAAGGAAACATCAGCCTCAATGACTGAACATTTCAAACTCAATTTAGTTACAAACGTGGCTGAATACAAAACCTGATCCACCTGATGGTTGAAAGATCCCGTTAAAAAACAGAGAAACTCTTTAACAGAGTCACAACCAGAGGCCGATGACTGACGCTCCGCAGTGAGCACATGGAACCAACGCTCATGTGTAAACACAGTCCAGACACGGCTACAGTTCTAACACAGGAGATGCTTGGTGCTGAACACTGGACATTTTTAATTACACTCTGTGTAATTCACTGAGTTGTCTTTTAAAGGGCTACAGTCACACGTTTCTCTGGCTGCGCGGCTAAGTCAACTGAAATGTTTGTTTTCACACCACAGTGGTTCTGGTGTGGATTGAGTGAGATGGCTCGAGTTTTTTTTTTAGCTACACCGTAAAAATTTCCTTCACAATCAACTTTTAGCATCTTTTGCTGTTCTCCAGAAAGCTGGGGTCTCTAGGACAAAAGAGTTTCAGGAGAATAGAGTTGAAAATAAATAACAGAAATGGCCGACAGCGATAAGTTATTGTTGGGATCATTTGGCACTCCCATTAATTATCATTAATTGATTATATGTATTTGTATGTATTTATTAATTTAGTTATGGTGTGCATTTGTCCTGTGATGCCCGGTTGCTAAAGCAGATCGGTTTGCCCCGACTTTGCTCCTAGAGCCTGCGACCTCTAGTGGAAGTCCAGTGTACTTTACCAAGTACTGTAAATGTACTGTGAATATAAGGAATATAATGGGAGAGTTAGGATACGAAATGGAGAGAAAGAGACTGGATGATGAAGACAGAATAGGAGAAGCTGCTGCTGCTGCTGCTGCTGCTGCTGCTGGTGGTGGTTCATTTGACTTGAAGGCTGAGGGTGAATGAATGAATGAATTGTGGACACATTAAAGAATAAACATTACCTTAAATATTTCAGACTTTACCATTACATATGAACTAGTGTGTGGATGTAGAGAGGACTCCAGAGACATTCTGTCATCCTAGTTCTCTGCTCATAAACCAGTTCATTTTTCATCCTCCGCCTGATTTATGTGCAGTTCACTTTTTTGGCAACGAAGACACGATGTAAGACAGAAATGTATCACTTACATAATTATTTAAAAACACCAGTGATTCCTGCAGCTGTTTGTGTCCCATGATTCTTCTCTGCCAGTTTGAACGAAACCTCATTAAGCAAAGCTGGAATTTATGTTGGGTGTCTGCGGCCAAAACCCGGTCCAGAGACCACGTACCACTGCCTTTGTCTGACAGTTTATTTTTTTTATTTTATAGTCGGAGCGTGCTGCGGTCGGAGCTGTCACTTTAATTATAATCTTTGTCTTGTTTTTATTTTCCCTGCATGAACCAAAAAAAAAAAAAAAAAATCACCATCAGTGATTATCCACCTAATTCTGCTAAAGCACAGACCAAATGTTCAAAATGTTATTCAAGTTTTTTTTTAGTATGTTTGAAACATACCTGAGGGAAGATCTTTTTTTTTTAAATAAATGTTTTCAGGGTAACCACATAGAAAAGAGAAGCTGTAAATGTCCAATATAAAACAGGTCATATTTTCCAGCTACATGCTCTAATTGAACAACAGTGTTCATATTCATTTTGCCAAACTTCACACTTCCATGTGGTAAACACAAATTAAAGGATCCTTTCTGTTTCTTTTTTAAAAATATATTTTATTTAGCAAGCACAGCACCCCTGATCCACAAGAACCGGTGCACCAGACGAGGTTGATTTGAAGAGAAAACAGCAGGTAGATCTTTGCATCAGTATATATTATGTTATCATGAAGCTGAGTTCTTCTATGTTCAACATCAGGGTGAAAATCAACTTTGTGTTTGACCTATGATGAAAGTTTTAGGTTTTGCAATGAAGAAGCTGGCAGGACCCAAAAGCAGCAACAGGGAGAGTCTCTTCAGATGGAGTGAATTTATTTACACTGTGCAAAAATCCCATCAACCACTGGGTCACAGGAACAAGGAAGTCAGAACAAGGACCATAGCACTTCATAGCCACAGCCCACCACTAACATGTATACAGCACATCGATCCCACAAAGACAGTGTGAGGGAGAGAGGTATATATACACAGAGCACCAGGTGACACCAGTGAGACTGATGACAGACACAGGTGAGGGTGATCACACTGATTAACACACAGAAGACAGCAGGACCAGGGAACAGACAGACCTCACAGGTTGGCTGTGTACAACATAAATGTTTATTAACATATTATGTGACTGAGTTACATTACTGCAGCAACACATTAAAGTATTTTAACAAACAGTTTACACCAGTACTGCAGCTATTGTTTCACACATTTATTACATGTTTTTGTCCAAGGAAACACGTCATGTTATTAAAGCTTGTGACCTTCAGACACAGATGCAGCCACAGAATGTGCTTAACAAACAAACAAAGATTAGTTCTTGTTAGTGATCATACAGTAGCTGTGGAATTAACCAAATGAATAGATTAATTAATCAACCTCCCTAAATGTGACTGTGTCTGTCTGTGTTTCTCTCCTGTTTTTATTTGTGACTGATACGAATGTTTGAATTAACCACATGTATATTTTCAGAAAAAAGATATCTAAAAAATGTAACTCTAAAATTTTGTACATTTATGTATTTGGTGGAATTTATTCACTAGTGTCCCTGTCAGGCCATCACCATCCTGAAGATGACTCCTCACCCCTGTCAAACTTCAGTGATGCCAAACAAGCCGGGCCTCTAACCTGCAGCTGAAACTCCACAAACACATGCTGGGAGGTGAGATGGAATTTTAAGCTTGAGATGCTTCAGTGAAAATAAAATATCTTGCTTGCAATGCATGTAAATGACAACATGTATATGAACTGTGCGTTACAGCAACGATAAGCAGTACATCCAAATGATTGAGTTGAAAAATGATTTAATGTAGTTAACATATCAATCCTGAATCATAAATAGCAATTTAGCTAGTATCTTTAATCAGTGTAAATTTAACAAACACTACAATGACACACACAGTCACTCGTACAGGGTTGACCTCCTGAAACCACAGCCACTGACAGATGTGACGGGAAATATTAAAAGACTGTGTTTGGCTGAACAGTGCTCGTGAATCAGTGGATTCATACTGGAGTCAAGACAGCAGGGGGCGTGATAACAGGATAGACTGGAGGATGAGTCGGGAGTGAAATTTTGGAACCCAGTCGCGGCAGCGCTGAGAGCGCAGCGTGGTCACAGGACGTAGAGTTTCATGGTTAACATTTCATCATGTGTGTGTTGCTTGTTCAGAAACCATTTTTGTGTTGACGTTGCAGTCTAAATGTTATGATTGAGAATGTCATTAAGTCTCATTAAGTGTGATCATCCTCCCATTCTATTGTTTTTGCTTCGATCCGTGTCTTTTGCTGTGATAATGATTCATGATGAACATTTTTCTGCCTTCTGGCCCTGGGTCTTCTCCTTCAGGCGTAGTTGAGCAGTAATTTGGGAATTTATGTTAGCGCAGATGACTCAGTGTGAGGAGGTGAGCAGATTTGTGCAGGCAACCAGGGCAGAAGCAGACGCATTTGGGCATTGAGCAGATGTTAGACTGGATAAAAATTATAATAAAAAAAGCTTCATATACTGTAACCATAAGTCAATAGTTCTGAGACACATTGCAGCGTTTGAAAAGATGATTTTAATAATATATACAAGTATACATATACAAATATACAAGTGCTTTTCCACAGAGGCAGAGTAACTATTGGTTGTTGTTGTTTCCTTTATACAGTCCATATAACGCGGGATCTCACAGGCTTTTGGAATTATCGTGGAACTTGTTGATATCGTGCAAATTGAGCTGTCTTGTAAGGCTCCGTGCTGCCACAACACACACGGTGCAATATAGACAGGAATACCCGGGTCAAACACGTCCTCCAGAGTTAATTCTGTGATGGAAACACCTCTCGCAGAAATATTTCAACTGGAAAATATGTAGAAAACAAAACTTCTTCAAATCTGCCTTAGCTCTTCTTGACTTAGCCCATATGGGTCCGGGCATGATGTAAATGCTGAGTTCCTATATTCACAGAGCTGCTGTGGGTGACATCATGAGGTTCATCCAAACTCCTCTGTAGTGTTTTCATGAAAAAGTCTTCCATGCATACGTTGATTAATTGGATTTTAATCCAGGATTTAGTGATTTCCTGCAGTGGACGTCATGGTTTTCGTTGGACTGTTTTCAACAAACACATTTCTTAGGGAAGGGTCTCCTCTGAGGGTGTTACCCAGTCTGAACTTAAACATGTAGGATTATCTGTGGATTTTACTACGCTAATATGCAATACAAGCAACATATAGGCTAGTCTGAATAAAATGTTCAATAAATATGATGGACAAATTGAAAGACTTCCTGAAGTCCAACACACCCAGATACAGTCATGTCCAACACCTCCTGTGTAAGTTTTTAATTCATACCAAATCTCATCTTTAATATCTTCAAGAAAGAATAACATTGTGTTATCATAGCATTGTTCACAGTAAATAAGTCCCAGAAAATACAACACAAAAAAATGCAAACTGTCTACAAGCTGCAACAGCGTTCATATACAGTACACATGGTGGAAGAAATGGATAGGCCCAAACTTAACAGTATTGGTTTCCAAAACACGGGCGCCAAAGGAGAGCATAGAGCTAATGAAATCCCCAGGTCAGAAAATTACTTTGACTGGAAAATATAAAGAATATTGTTTGCTGTTGTCTCAATATGTGGCCCTGTGATGGACCAATGACCTGTTCAGGCCACGCTGTGGCTGCAGCCCCACTACGACCCTGAACAGAGTGAATAATTTGGTGTTTCCAAAAATCTTTCCTCATTCTGCGTTTGCGAGAATGAAGCATGAATTCTGGTTCACATCCCAGAGCAGCTCCCTCAAATTAAACTATGTAACTTGGCCTTTATCACACAGAGCAAACTCCTTCCTAAAATGGACCTCAGATCATGTCCTAATTGTCCATTATGTGGACATGGGGAAGTTCTAACAATATCAGGGAAGTGCCTTAGTCTGTCTGTCGGAAATTACTCTCACTGCACCCAATTTAGTCCGTGAAAGTGGAGTGAACTGAATGCCGCAGCACTTCCATTTCGTGAATATGTGACTTTGATCTTCACTGGGAAATTTCCCACTGGTTTTCGTAGTATCTTGATGTTTTCAGGGCCGGCTTTTTCAGCAGTGAATAGTTGGTGAAATGCATGGGAATGCCTCACTCACTCACTTTTCCCATGTCTGGGGTACAAGCACTGCCGCATGTTGTTAACAACTTACTTCATGTTTACAGAGTCCCGAGCTTGTCAGTCACTGGACACCATCTGATACGATGAAAGCTGTTTCATCAGCATGTGATAGATCCAGAGCTCTCTGCTGCATTCATTCTTTCTAACTGGTTAGGTGGGTTAGTGGCCAGACTTTCCTGCGGCGCAGTCCCAAAGTGAGCCTGAGAAACTCTCTGATAAGCCAAGAATCAAACATAGGCCGCTACCAATATGTAAACATTACTTTTCACTGCGAGTTGTCATCTGCTTCCACTGCCAACTTTACTGTTTTTTTTCTTCAGACCCAGTCGAAAGTAGAAGGCCTTGTGATGTGAAACTGTTCGCCGCAATTGACTCCTGCAGTGAAAAAGAAAAGAAAAAAAAGTGCATGCTTTTTTTAAATGCCCTCTCTGTAAACCAGTCTTGAAATGATCACCTGTCACCTGTAAGAGCTAAAAAGAATAAGGTACTCCAATTTGTTGTAAATTCTTTTGACACTATTGGAGTTCCTGACCGAGTATCTGGCATTGGCCCCGGACTCTGGACAGGATACTATGACATTATTTAACAAGCAGAAAGTTGGGTTTTGCTCCATGGACTGGAGTTCTAAATCCTCCGATGCAGACTTTGAGCAAATTTCTCTCCAATCGTTAAGAAACGCCAAAAGCCTTGCACTTGAACCAACAAAGAAAACAAGGATTTTATTACACTACTCCTCCCAAACAACTAATAATGGAAAAGACTCTCTCAGTGCCTTTGTCATGCTCTGTGGATGGCGTAATGAATCTTTGTTTATTATTGATCCTGGTATTCCTGAGTTGATCAACCTGATTATCTTTAAAGATTTGCTATAAATCACAAAACAAATGAGCGTTGGCCACGAGGACAGTGCCATCGTGCTTCGTATTTCATTAAACGTAAGCATGACCTGTCTGTGAGCCCGCTGATCACAATGGGTAGAGAGATGTTTTTACTCAAGTGCTTTGAATCCTCTTTGGAAATGGGGAATTTTATTGCCAAATGTGAGTCACCCTGCAGCCTGCTCTGGCTCCTACCAGAACCCATCAGTTTTCCCGGGGGCGCCTGGGCTTGTATCTGATGTTCACTGGAACTTGCCTCATGTTCGTAGCAGTGTTAACTGCAGCAAAACCACATCTGGAGTGTGGTCTGGATGAGTGCATCACACTTTTGGAGGTAGGCCAGTCTGCTCGTCTGTTGGTGACACCACAGGCTAAAAGGAATGATGTTTGTGCAGCAGCAGGCTTCTCCACATGTAACAGTTTGTGATGGCTTTCACTCTGCACTATCAGAGTCTTCAAAGATGAAGGCGTGTAGACAGAGCGGAGGGAATGATTTCTAATGTGCTGTCATGTGTGACCATTAGCGTTTTTCTTCGTGCGTGCTCTCTGTTAGCTTAAAATATCGTGGATGGGTCTTAACCCAATCTGTGTAGTGTCAGCTGTGCAAAGAGAAGATCCAAAAGTTTTCTGGCATCCCGACACGACCGTTCAGCCAAAAGTGAACCACCCAGCATGGCTCGCCGACTTCGCTCTGTGGTTTTTGCATGATAATGATCTCTGAGCTGATCCAGTGCAGCACCCCACAGCAAGATGTAAACACTTAGCCCAGTAAACAAAGGTTCATTGTATCAATAGTAGTCCATGTGTGGAGCGTTAAACCGTAATTTCCCCTCATGCTAGGGGAGAAAACACACAAGGAAGCAGCACCATCTGTGTCGCGGTGTCTGTCGGTGAAACCGAAGACGGTCACAGTTCGCCAAATCAGTTCACCATGCATGCCACCAAAAGAGGTAACATGTTTCTGAGCAGGAAACAGATGTTTAATTTGTCACGAGTGACATCATGTCCATGTGATATCAAGCAGGGTGCAAAAGGAGAGCGGCTGAGCCGGAGTTAGAGCACATGATTTGAAACACAGTGACTGACTTGAGTGGCACAGCGTGTTTTTTCTTATTTTTAATTGCTGGTGAACTGTGGAGAACTCGGTCACTGAGTTTTAGAGTACAGATTTAATTAGAATGTCTGAAGGTAAATGAGGCTGCTGCTGCCCTGGAATTTAATATTTTTTCACCTCAGTGAGCTGATAGGTTTTCTGGCAGCAACGTTCAAAATTGTCTTTACAAACTTAATTCCCCTTCAGGCAGAGCCAGGAGTTCTTGGAAGTTTGCAGTGGATTACAACGTGATGCTCTGCCAACGATGCCTGCAGAAGTAGACCCATTATAGCAGGGGACTTTCGTAATCCCTGCTTGTCTCTCCTAGAGGGCTGCATCCTGTGGACAAAAATAAGAATCTGGAGCATGTTGGGCACAGCGATGTGACAAAGACATTTTTGCAGAGATTTAGATAAACGAAGCAGGCCAACCCTGTGAGCTCAATGTTACTAGTTTCATATGTGATTGTCTGGAGAAAAGAAAATTATAATTTATTGGAGCTTTGCTTCTGGCTTCCAATCAAAATGTACACATACTCATGTGATTTGAGGTTAGACAGACACCACTGCTGGCAGGGAAACACACCTTCATTCTAATACAAATGGGGCAATTATTTGTCGGCGAGTAATTGTTTGCAAATTAGTTGATTTAATGTTGTGTCACAGATTGATTAGCATGAAGAGTGAAGAAGAAAAGGTATCCAGGTTGCTGCAGGCAGTGTGTTAAAGCTGGAGAAACAGCCCTTTACTGAGTTTAATTCTCAGGTTAGCGAGACGTAATTTTGGAAGGATTGTGGATCGTGTTCTGAGGCAAACATAGAAGCAACATGTGACTTCTGAAATTATGTGATTTTTTTTTTCCGACTTTGCCTCAGAGAAATGTTCTCTCCAAAATAAGAATTTATTGGGAAACACTATGAATAATGTGTAGTGATGACATCAAAATGAAGACTTCTATTGTAAAATGACTTTTAGTGATGTGCTGCTGCCTGTCTAGCACTATTTAAATATTTAGTGCTAGAATGACCATCTGGAACAGATGCTTCCCCCCTTGATGATCCATTTGTCAGTCACATTCATTTACCTAAAGAAACTACTCTATGACTAATTATGATAGAAATCAGTTCATGTTGCTTTGCACTAGTAATGTTATTCTGAGCACATCTAAAGGCTAAAGTCCTACTGACTGGCTCTCTTTTAAATGGAATTGACTTGGTTGTGCAAAAACAAAATTGGACAACAATATTTTAAATTTTCAACAAAATCATCTACACATCAATAGTCCTCAGAGACCTTATTATAGTATGTTATAGAGCAGGCGTGGGCAAACTTTTTGTTTGTCCTAAAATTGAACAGCCGGGTCTGGGGGCAGATAGATGAAGCATTGGTGTGAACTAAGATAAATGATGTAAAATGATGATGATGTAAAAGTCATGTATAAAGGCTAAAATGTTAGAATGCTTTTATGGTTTATGTTCTATGCCATCTACTGGAGAAACATGGGTATTGCAGGGAAAAGGCAGAAGTATAATGATAATATAAATAAATTCTATAATTTGAAAAAAGTTTGGCGGGCTGGATTAAAAAGCTGAATGGGTCACATCCGGACCCCCGGGCCTTAGTTTGCCCATGCCTGTTTTAGAGCAATCATTTGATTTTCATTTCTGAACAGAATTAAATAAAATTAAAATAGAATTGTTAATTGCAATAAAGACTTGCAAACAGCTAGTTGTTGACAAGAAAACAACACTACTACTACTACTACTACTACTACTACTACTACTACTACTTCTACAACTAAGTATTTATGTAACAATAACAAAAAGAATCAGTCCAAACCTGTTTAGCGTCTTGGAACAGACGTTTGGACTTGAAACATAGTCTTGTTGTAAACAGATTGGTGTTACCGCCGGCCATGAAATGTATGATGTGCATCAGCAGTTCAGTGGAATCTGAGCAAAGCTGAATTAAATGGTTTAATCAAATGATCTCATACGAAAACCCTGTTCCAATAGATTGATAATTTGGCAGCACATTCTATTTACAATGTAATTTCCTTCTGCCATGAAGAAATCACTTACTTTATAATTAGCTGACGCCTAATGAATGTTTACCTTGACCGCAGGGAGAAAATTGGTGGTCGACCATATGTACGTTTCCCAATACTGCTTTAAATTGCAGATGAGGTGCTTGGACACGAATGGAAATAATTTATATTTAATTAAAAAAAAATAGAATTTTATCTGTTCCCTTATGACTGTATCTCATAATTCAACCGAAGGCATGCCTTGCTCGCCGTCTGAATTAACATTGAACAACTGCCATTAACTTTTAGGATGCTTGGCCTATCTTAAAAGAAACCAGCCTTAGGAAATATGGACACTAATGGTGAATGTCAGTGCCATGAAAGATGCTGTGTGTCTTGGAAAGCAGAAGCCATTAATATTTGTGTAACAGCTTGTCGGTCAGTCTGTCGGGCTTCATCTGTGTGTAATGGCTTTGGCCGCAGCTCCCGCCAGTGAAAAAAAAATAGAGCTGCTCAACCTTGTCAGCTTGAAATCCCAGATATGTGTCCCAGGGAGGAAAAAACAGATGGGCAGTGACGACCAACACTTCAGAGTTGAGGGGTAAAGTAATAGCTCGGGGTCTCCTGCCAAGTTCAAGCAGCACACCTGGGGCCTCATTTATGAAACTTTACATACAATGAATTCCCCAATTTGGCATTGACCCAAACATGGGAATTTTCTTTTCCCAGAAAACTTGGACTCCACATTCTTCCTTTGCTGAATGAGGTCCCGTGGTGAATTTTGCAACTGTGGTCTTCGGCTGGTGACATCACAAAAAATTCCAAATATGGTCAATACTAAGACGCTCTTTGGAACTGATACCAAACACTTTCTGTTGTGTTCTATTGGTATTTCATCCATTTATTCATCCATCCATCCAATTGTGAATTGGTCCCTATATTTTGTCCTGTCCAGGGTACCTGGTGTCTTATCAAATCCGAAGACCACTGAAATTGCCCCTTCCCCATGTCCTGACCCATGACCCATGAAAGTGTTCACATTATGTTTTTTGACTGTGGGAGGAAGCCTCCAACCTGGACCTTCAGTCCAAGCCAGGACTTCGTCCAGTTATCCTCAACCACTTCACCATCATGCTAAGCTCTTCCTCCTGTTTCCTCATTAGTCAAAATCACAAAACTGTAGAAGTCTTTCTTTCTTTTTAAACTAAACCACTACTTACTAACTGGAGCATCTCACCTTTGAGAACCGTCAGTGTCCATTTGAAACATTGTCTTCCAACATTTGAACGCACGGGTAAATGTTTGTAGATTGTTTTTTTTTTTTTTGTCCTTCCATCCACAGTAGCGATCATGAAATTCTCTTGGTTTCATTCACTCACTTTGTCATGCATTTGTTGTTTGTTCATTCAACTGGCCAGAACGGTACGTGATGTGGCTCTGAGGGTCTTAGTCACAGTCCTTTCTGTGGTCGGCTGTGGTCAAATGTAACTTAAACACATTGTAAATTTCACTCTTAAAGTTTACGGTATTAAACCAGACTGTGATCCTGCTGTAACCACAACCACATGCTTTAAGAACAACCATAAAGAAAAACCCACAGGAGGATTTTGTATTTGAGACTGGGTTGTGTTGCAGAAATCAAATAAACTCCTTTTAAACAATTTAATAATAATGATATTTTTTAACAATACATGCACTGCTCGCCAAGGATGGATAGAACATTTTTTTCTAGTCACAATTCTAAACCCATTCAAAGAGTATTTCCTAAATGATGGGTTGTGAGAGGAGAGCTGGATACCATCCTAAATACAACTTTGGTCAAATACTGCATCAGTACGTTCTTTGTTTTTTCTCCCTGTATCTTGTTTATGTTTTACTTCAAGTTGCTGCTTTCTTAAAGAAGTGTAATGTTCTCTAAGCTTTAGTATGTTTTTAAAGAATACAATTCTAAAATGTTCTATTATTGTAGTCATTTTCTTCATCACTGGACTGATACGATAATTAAACTCGTGTATAGTATACTATTCAGAGGCACACAGTTTAAAATTGGTCTAAACTTTTTAGGGATGACTCAATACTACATTTTCATATCTGTTACCAATGCTGCAACTTGGAGTATCTGCCGATACCAATATCAATCCAGTACCTTCTTTTATACTCCAGCATGCTGTGGGCTGCTGTTGCTGCGGTGATAGAGTCCCTGTTCAGGCGTCAGTATCAGATCAGATGGACTTCAGTTTTTTGGGTTTTTTTTTTTCAATATTGGATTGTGAAATATGGACCAATATCAGGCCAGTTATCGGATTAAAACATGCTTTAGAATTATGTTACATTCTCTTTCTATCATTCTTTGTTAATTGATTTATCTTAAACGGCTAACCTGTGTTAGCTTCAAATTAGCCTTTTTGTAAATCTACATTAAGAGAGGGTCTATGTTGAATCAAATTCAACAGTCTTGGTAAATGAAAGTGTGTAAAACAGGGGTCACCCTTCTTAACATCGTCATTAAACCCATTGGAATATCACTCCAGGTGGAACTGATTCAAAAAGCACAGTAACAGTACAATTTCTGACCTTCTTTTTGACTAGTTTTATTAGTAGAACATACCTTGAGGGCAAATTAGGTAGACCACGCGGGCCAGTTGCTGAATCTGAATCTGCTCTGCATCTCCATCTCCTCATTTATAAAAACAATTGCACAGGATGAATTTCACAATTTGGCATTGACCAAAAGGCAGTAATCTTCCTTTAAGCAGAAATCATAAGGATTTATGAAACTGTGTCTAGCACACTCATCCACATTTTTCTTTAGCTGAAGGCAGTCCTGCAGTGAATCTTCACAATGTCTTTTCTGCCACTAACATTTTAAAAACTCCAAATATGGAGAATACCAAGTAGCTCTTTGGAGCTGACTAAAATTCCTTATTTGAATCAATAGTTATAATATAATAGTATTCACAAAGACACAGTGTGGCTTTTGTTGTCTGTGTTTTGGACAAGATTCTCCGTCCATCCATCCAATCATGAATCCATCCATCTATCCTTCCATAATCCATCCATTCTTCCATCCATCCATTCTTCCATCCATCCATCCATCATCCATTCTTTCATCCTCCCATCATCCATTCATCCATCCATTCCTGTAGTCTCCAGGCAAAGGCACTATGCACATTTCACCACTCTGTTATAAACCCTCTAATGTTTTCTCTTTTTTTCAGAGAACGTGACGAAAAGTCGTTAAACATACAGAGAATGTACCTAATATTGCTTATATTTTAAGCGATAGAGTATGAAAGGCTGGCCCGATCAGAGAGTGTTCTAAATGAAACCATTTCCACGAACCTTCTCTGACAACCTATGAAGGAAAAGTTTAAAGCATTTGCAGTCTGTTCTACGGTTGTAGTTAAAAGCAGACAGGCAGTATTGATGGATCACAGGAGTGTCCAGAGCTGAGCATGGCCCACAGTTGGTCCTGGCCCTCACTCTGTTTCTGACAGATAACAGATTATCCCAGTCAGGTGTTTTAGTCTGCAGACAATTGATCACGTTTTTCTTCTGTGACTGGCACCCACAGTGGGTCTGTGCAGCCAGTCCCTCTGTACTTTCTTCTTCTGATGACCTGATCTTTTACTCCAACAACTGAAGTATTTGCACTGAAGAAACAACAGAGTTTCAGATTCAGCAGCTCAGTGTTGGAGGCACAGAGGAGAAGACAGTAATTATCTGGGTACGTGGTTCGGTCGTCCTCAGTCTCTCTGGACTCTAACAGATCAGTATGGACCATGTCCATGCAAATGCTTGGCAGCCAGTTCAATTCCTTCTGGATGAGAGTGAGGGCTTCTCTCTCTCTCTGTCTCTCTCTCTGTGTTCTTCCCTCCCTCCCTCTCTCTCTCTCTCTCTCTTTCCTCGTTGGCAGCAGCGTCTCTACTGTTGGCAGGAGTGTCCAGAATAAAAACGGCAACACCAGACAGGGGAGGGGGAAAAAAGCAAAGTGATCCATTGAACCAGAGTCCTTTGCCTCTCTTAATTACACAGAGTCTCGTATCTCTTTTTTTTTCTCCCACCTTTTCACTCTCTTTGCATGACTCTGGGCTCAGGGTAATTAGCTTGAAGAGAATAAAACCAGCTGATCGGGAGAGGGGTGGTGCAGTTTGGAGCGAGATGGCGAACAGAAACATTCTGTGGCTCTTCTGTGGACTCTTCCTCTTAGCCTTGATTCAACCTTCTCTGCAGGGAGGTAAGTGTCTGCTGCAGGTGAACTGAGTCCTGAACTTTCTGATGCATCAATCACACAGCAGACATGAGGCAGGTGCAGTTTTTTCTTTTTTCTTTTTCTTCTGCCTCTGTCTTTTTATCTTTTTGACATAAAAATATTCTTAATTAAATTTTTGCTCTGATGGTCAAAAATCAGTCAATAATTTCTGTATTTTTGGGAGTTAAAATCTGTATAAATTAGTGTGCCATTAACGAAGAACTTAGATTGGAATAAAATACAGGTATTGTGTTTTATTGACAATGTTGATTCATTTGTTTTCATCAGTTGCGTTTATTTGAAACGTTACTGAAATTTCACAGAGACATTTTCTGCTTTTGCTAATGGAAATAAAATAGAAACACTGCCTCCATTCAACAGTCATAAATTCAAACGAAGTTTATCGTGAGTGAGCTCCTGCACCTGCACTGAATTCCAGAATAAACAAAGAGAGGTTGTTCTTTTCCTGATATTTCCTGCATGTGCACGACTGTCGTTAAAGGTTTCCAGATTTAGATTTGAGAGTCTCAATGGTTTTAAATCATAATTGGGTTGAACAGTAGGAGATAACTATGAGTTATTACACCGAAATAAAGTTATATTCGTCATACTTATGTGACACTACAAGAATTTCCTGTAATACTTCCCGACGATCCCTCGCACGTACGACAGCAGTGTCTGTGGCTGCGGAACATCTTCAGTGATATTTGAGGAAGTGAACGTTCCAGCTGTTCTCCCTGCTCTGGAGGAGCACAGTTTAAATTCAACCCTGATGAACTCCAGGAGTGAGTGGGAGTGTATTGTCACTGTGACAGCTCTGACTGGATCGTCTCTGAAGTACAGTGTGTAGATCTGAGAGGTTAGTTCTTAAATGGGGCTTATCTGCCTCACACAGACGGAGAGAGTGAGAGGCAGACGTTCTTATCATTCCTCCTTCAGCCCATTGTGTTTGCCTTTCTGCGTAGCGCTCAATCCGTTCTTGTTATTTGTGTTTTGGCCGAGATTCTCTGAATCATCTCCAACTGGAAAACATCTTTAGCATCTGGGGGTGGAAAAGCTGGAGTCGTACAATTTCTGATGCATCCATTGGCTCCAAACCCTCGGTTGTTTATTTGTCTTATTTCTTTGAGTCCAAGTGTCCATTTGGACGTGTTGTGTTTAAGATTCCTCAAACAAATATTGTGTCCATATCAGGCTCATCTCCCCAGCTGACCACTGCCTTCCTCTAATGTAATCACCTTCTTACTTCAGAAATGCTCTCATCCAGAGAATTTATTTGGCCTTCGACCTCTCACAGCAGTTCACATCCTGCTCTCCTACGTGACTGCCTCATTTTATGATGCATTCAGGCATCAAAATATATAGCAGGTAAAGGAGCCAACAAATATCAAGACTGGATCAGGAGCACGACTTTGATCTCGGCACAGTTCTGCATTTCTTTGAGGCTCAAACATGTTCCATCTGCGTCTATGTGTTCTAACTGGAACAAGGAAGAAAAAAACCTCCTCTACCTGTTCCAGGGGTCAATTATCTGTGAGTAACGTGAGCCTCATTAACACCCAACACTTCGTTTAATGTCCCTGCAGAGAAAACAGCCAGAGCACTCCCGAAAGTCGTTCCCTGAGTTATGATGGAGTGAAAGTCAGGTTTTAAACCCTTTTATGATCCCAGAGGAAACATCTGGGATGGAGTTAAGTCATAAATGTATATCCTGTCATGTTATTCTGTCACCATGTGAAGGAAATGTGAGGGTTTTTTATCATTCAAATGCTACAGAGCTTAAAACGTAACATCTTAGTCAAGACAGACTTTTCTTTCACTTTCTCCTGATGTTTTCTTAGAATTCTTAAATATAACTAATTTGCATGGAATGGTCTTGGCCCGAGTTAACTGACTTTGTTTTTTATTGCTAAATTTGGGAACTAAATCAAAGCCAGGACAAAGTGGTGGATAGAATTCCGTGAATAGATTTATCAGGTCAGGAATTTGATCAGACTTTTTTCTTTACTTTTTTGAGAACTCAGAAGGGGCTTCGTAATTTTTTTGGAGGAAGCTGGTCAGAGACCAGTGGGAGACGAAGGTGGAAAAGAGCTGCTCTGTTCCTTAGCTATCTCCACAGCATTAAAATCAAATCAAGGTTGTGCGATGTTCTCTACAGAGCTGCTGGAAACCAGTTTGCCTCCTTTGGCATCGGCCAGGTCCAACCACACTACCTCAGAAGAATTTTGCACATTAATCGGTGGCACTTGGCGCTCCTGTAGGTGAAGTCAGATGAAATCAGTGCTCATTGGCTGTCGCTTCGAATGAATAATATATGATGAATTAAAGCAATACCGCAACCTTCCTTGCAGATTCCCACTCTGGTTTTTCCTTGATCCCCCAAAGAAATGTGGCTTTGGGCATTATTGGTTTCATATGTGGTAAAAACTCTTTTGGCTGCGGTCCCTCTTGTGGCAGGTTTTGGTGCCAGCCACAGCCTGCAGCCTTCATGTGCAGTCAAGTGGGAACTTAACACTCCTGTGCACTGCAATTAAAAGGAACGCCGTTATGAGTGATTTTTGTTCAGCTATGTTTTCGTTTTGTTCAGCGCCTCTAATGCTGGATCCTCAGAGGCAGTTTAATGTGTTGATGTTGAACGGTGTGGTGTAATTTGCAGGGAGGTGACCTCATTCAGCACTCATTTGGGCAGCAGCCTGTTTGTTGCAGTCACTCACTGACTGGGGTTTACTGTTGTGTAATTGCTGTTAATCAGCACCTTCACGTCTTGCTCTGGCAGAAGTCCCGCTTAAGTGTTTTGGCGATTGAAGGATCCCATGCATGGTTCGCAGCTTTACATCACAGCAGGGTATATGGAGAGCTGGGAAGTCCTGCATCAAAGAACTTGTCCAGTTGGGGTGACCAGTGTTTTGGGCGACAAATCTTTTCTGTCAGGATGAGAGTGTTGTTTGTAACTAAGGTGGTAGATTTAAAAAAAAAAATGTCTAGACCACACAGTGAAGGAGTGATTTGTGCTCTTGCCTTACAGCAAAAGGTTACTGGTTTGATTATCCACTGGGAACTGAGGGTCTTCTGTTTGACTGTTTACAATTTCCACCCAAACTCTCAATACATACAAGATCAGGTTGAATGTTCACTTGAAATTAAACACCAGTGTGAATGAGGCCCTTTACTAGGCAACCATTCAGAATGTAGCCCCGCCCCCACCTCATACTCAGATTGGCTTACGCTCCTCGTGACTATAAAAATAAAAAAGATAGAAAATGAACAAATTAACTAAAGAATCATGAAAATAATAGCCCTGTGTTCATTAATGGGCAGACTCCCCTTGGTAACAAGTAGACAGGAAATATATCCAGTAGGTGGCAGTACTGCAGCTCAAAGTTGCAGAGTTGCCATTAAAAGTTAAAAGGGAAAAGATACATTTTACCGTACGCTTATTATAAGGGTGGAGCCCGTTAGCTTTTTACACATGATTGTACTTGTCCTTGCTTTTATTAGAGGGTTCACTTGTAAATGTAATCCAGTATAATTGTGAATGCATGACTGGCTCTGTGATCCATGACAGAGCCGAGGACATTCCATCAGAAGTGAGTCCTGACCCTTGTTCCAAAAAATTGTTGTTCATTACTTTCGCTCTGCTGTCATATCATCGTCTGCTCTGATACCAGGGTCTGGTCCTCGACACAGAGCCACATTAACTGGAGTGTGATTCACTGTGGCCCTCACCAGACTGTGAGCTGCAGCTCTAGGTCAAAAAACTGACTACTGTCCAAGCGTTTCTAGCTTTGCTAAACAACTCGACAACATCTGCACAACACTGGTAAAACAACAGCTTTATTCATAACTGACCATAACTGATGAGAAGAGATGGTAATAAAGTCTAGCTGTGATTAAACACATTACGTCAATTTAAGCAAAGCACTCGACCGTGAAAACATTGTGTGCAGTGTTGTCAGATCCACTGAACTTTTTATGGCCATGTGGATGTTAACATGGCACCTTCAGGTCTTTCGCATCAACTTCTTGGTCCAAACCAAACACAACAGCATTTTTGTAGCATTTTAACTTCACTTAAGTGGCATAAATATTGATAAATGTGAGTTCACGTACACTGCATAAAATGTCTTTGGACTTATTGTAAATATTTCCCCATGAGCCATAAATTACTGCTTAGTTTTTCACTGTTCCACTGTGTAAATGTATTTTGCAGCATAAAAGTAGGGCAGAATGTCAATTGCACGGATCATAAAAATGATGGATTTTTCACCGATTTTGCAAATCAGATTGATTTTACTCCAAATCACAACATGGCTTGAACACAATGCCTGGCAGTATGTCTTATTAATACTGTTTTCCATTGTCAGGTCACATTATACCTACATTTATAAATGAAACAGTATGTTCCCCTTGGTGGTATATGTCACATCTAAAGGATTTTTTTTGGAGAGGGAAAAAACGCATAACTCAAGTGAAACATGCTGCGTGATGAATAGTCCTTTATAGCTTTACAACTTTAACTGTGTCAGTTCCTTACAGTGGCATAAATCAATGTCTTCAACAGTCCTCACGTGAACCAGACCCCACTGACGGAGTGAAATCAGTGAATCGGCTTTTAATTATCCTTAAACAATGGTCATGATGTAAAGTAGGGAGTAAAATCAACCGTAACAGCTCAACTTTTTTAAACACTGCAAGTCTGTGTTCTCCGTTCAAACCATTTACGCTGCATTTCAACTTTGGGAGAACAACATCTGTACTCAGTGGAGTCGTTACTTTTAGGCAGAGATCAGACCAAATGCAAAGCGGCAAAAACACAAATCAGATGCTCCGTCACCAAAACGTGCTCCAAGCTTGGGCTTCGTAATGCACAAAAGCAAACAGCAACTGAAAGAGCTCTTTGTCAGTTCCGTGCTGGATTTCATTTTATCTGTGTGAGGTGCAATAGTTCCATGCAGATCTGCTGTATAAATAGCAGGATTTATCAG